AGGGGGCACATGCCCCCCCCCCCCGACTAACGTGGCACCACTTGCCCATGGATCCTAATGCTAATGACTTTGAATTATCTTCAGCTTAATAGCGTGGGGTGCTCTGAGAACTCTCACTGAATCATTTAGAGGCTTGTTACAAGGGATCCTGGTGGTTTCAACAGCTCAGGGAATCCTGCAATCTGTCTGGCCTTGGTTCAAAGATGTAAACAATATTATGTCCCAAACCAAGGAGAGTTTCCAATTAGTTAATTACGGCAAACACCGTTTCCAGAATGCCATGATTTAATTGGATTTAGTCAATGGTATTTCAGAGGAAGAGGGTGATATTCTATGGTGTCATGAAGAACCACTCTGATGCTTTTCCCTGAATTTGTATATTAGCCACCAAACAGTAGTAAAGCTGATGTAGGATAAATATTTAAGCAATGAAATCACTTGTGAGGAGTTAAGAATGAAGTACTGAGGGATGACTGTGCAACTACAAATATTTAAACAAAACCTATTTACTTATTAAGCTGAAACACAGCAATTTAACAGGGTAGGTGAGACTGGATAAGACAGTCTGACTCATGTTAGTGCTTAATCCAAGACAGGTCTGCACCTGCATTGGATTAAGCACTATCAGAGTGGTCAAGGTGATGCACTGAACTGGAAAACAGTTCAACTTTTGAGGGGAGGCATAGGGATTAGTTGACTCTATTCTACTGTCAAGTTCTAAAACCCAACCCCTCCACTGACTAAAGTTTACACATTCTCAAATCTATTTGTTTTATGAACTGAGTTCTGTTGACTTGCCTGAACTGAACCATGAAAGTGCTCAGAAGAAAGGAAAAAGTCTTCAGAATGTAGATTTTGGCACCCAGTTCATTTCAGTCAGTTGTACTTTATGAATGTTTACCTTACTTGTTAAAACTGGTCAAGAGTAAGACTAATTGTTTGTCAAAAAGTTGGGGGGGGGGGGAGAGGGAGGAAGATCTCTACCATAGCAAAAATTCTACAAGTCATAATTTTAGAAAAATAAGCAACTATAGCATGCAACATTCAAATAACTAAATGTTTTTACTAGAAATTATGATAATCAATAACCAACATTCAATGAAAATGTGAGTATTTTGAAATTACTAAATAATAGTTTAAATATGTTTAGAAGTTGTACTGTGCTACAATTTGTCTGTCTATAGAAAGGTAAGCGTATGATAATTCATGGCAGTCTCGTTCATGGTGAAGTGAATAGCTGTGTATTCTGTTCTCTATTTGAACCTGAATCTTGGGTTTCAATATCGACATTGCAGATTGCAGATTCTGATAGATTATCAACATATGACACCATTTCCATATTTATTAAGGACCTTTTCTATAAATAAAACCATACTTCTACATGGCATAGGACATAGATACCAGGATATAATACCCTTCCTCCATAAACTGCTGGTTCAAGGTTAGCTACTAAAAAGGTTGTTACCTTTCATAGCCTTTGTCAGTCTAAGCCACAGTAGACGTTGTAGTCTACACTGTAATCCCTGCTCTAACTATGGTACTGACTGGTAGCCTTCTAAACTAGGTGTGCTCAACCTCTGGCCTGCAGCCCAAGTGCGGCCCATGGAGCCATGGCATCCAGCCAGTTGGGAAATTTGGTGATGGGGGAGCAGTGGCAAATGGCAAGTAATGCTGCCACCCTCCCTGCTGTCAAATTCCCAAGCCCTGCAGAGCCAGGGCCAGGCTATGCCCCCTCCTCCCCCCACCTCCTACATGGCCAGATTAGGATCCGCCTTGCCACCCCACATGATGGATTGGGCCAACTGGCTGGATCGGGCCTGCAGACAGACTGACCACTGTCCATCTGGCCTGAGGTGGAAAAAAATTGGGCACCACTGTCCTAAACCAACGGAAACAAGGCAAAGGCTGAACAGATATGGAAACTAAAAATGAAGTTTCTTACTGATAACTTGTTTCTTCAAGATGCATTCTTCACATGCACATTTTTACTTTTCAGTGGGTGTGACTACATGTTCATTAATCTGCCATAGTAACTGCACATTAAGTTTAGTACTTGCATAACCAAGGCCACCTTATCTAGGAAGAAGGGTTATAAGGGAAGCTCCTATGAAGGCTTGGATCTTACTCCCCCCCCCGCTTGTGTAATTGCCAGCAGAAAGGTTGCTTATTTGGAAAAAAAAAATGGAGGAGGGAGCATGTTAACAATGTAAGAATCCAATGCAGATCTGTAACAGGGGAAAGCCTCCTCCCGTTACTTGGAGCAAGCGCAACCAGCAAGGGAAGAGTTGTGCTACCTGCACCTGCTACCGATGGGTTGCAGGGCCCAGCCTGCAGATTGCAGGCAGCAGAACACTGTATGGCTGAATAGAGAATGAGCAGCACCTGGGCCTTATAAGCAGCCAGGCAAGTCAGGTGACTGGAAGGGGAAGGAGAAAAAGCTGTGTAAGTCTGAGCTAGGGGCCTAAGTCACAGACTGTTTCAGATCCTCAGAATGAACTCTGCAGGCATGCTATATATAGGGACAGAAACGATGTGCTTTCGCTTCTGTGGCGATTGGGAGTTTATGTTACACTCAAGGACTGACTTGTGGATGTATGGAGGAGGAGGAGGCCACCTAATATGGTGCCTGGGGCATTTTGGGTTTTGAGCCCTGAAAAGGGGTAGTGGGAGTTAGTTGGGCTAAAGCCGAGAGGGCCAAGGCCCAGGCATGAACACAGTGAAGCCTGGAGGGGTAGGAGCCCTGAAGGGCGGCCCAACCCAGAGGGTGTGAGCAAAGGCCCAGAAAGGTAGGTGTCCTAAAGGCCGGACTGAGATGGACGTGAGCAAGGGCCTGGAGGGATAGGTGCCTCAAAAGGCAGCTGGTTGGGGAATGGCTGCACAAGGCTGAGAGAGGCCTAGGGAGGGCCTGTACAGATAGAAGGGGTCACAGGGCCCTGCCAGGGTCCAAGATCTGGTAAGCAGCTGGGGCTAGGGAGAGAGGCTAAGACCTGGTAGCTGCAGTGGGTCTAAATGAGAGAAAGATACTGGGTCAGAGGAGGCCCAGACAAGAGTGAGTGAGCCCTGCTCCAGTTAGGATGAGCTGACTGGCAGCCTAATGATGATGAGCAGGGCATGGCAAGGCACTGAAAGCCAAACTCCAGGATCTGAAGGCAGCCTCCCAAACCTATTAACCCTTTACATCAGGGGTGGGCAAAATACAGTCCAGGATTTTGTCCAGCCTGCAGTGGGCCCCTCAGTTCCATGCAGCCCAGTTACTGACATTGTTGCTGGGAGGGGTGTGCGTGTGGGAGGGGGTGCTGATCCAGTCTACAACAGCTCACCAAAACTCCCTATGTGGTATGTGGGCCCAAATAATTGCCCACTCTGCTTTACATCAAGGAGAGATGCAGCAGGAGAGAAGAGAGGACACCCAATAGGGGAGAACTGGAGTGGGAGAACAGACATAGGGTGACCCCTAGGAGGTGCTGTGGGCATCCCTGGAGGCAGAGCTTGTTACAAGGTGTGACTGTGGACTTGCATCCAAGACTGGTCCCCAGTCCCCCTTCCTTCCCTCTCTGTTCAGAACTAGGAAGTAACTGCTGTGAAATGCCTTTCACAGGAGATGCAAGGAAACCCTTTTTATGGCTCCCCAGTGTCAAAAAGGGAAATGACTTCTTCCTGTAGCAGATGCTTGTCAGAACAGTCCCTGTAAAGGGATGGGGAAAAGGGATTGTGAGCGAGTAGCAACTCAAACTAAATGGAATGTCTGCTTGCTACCATGTCTAGGACCAACTGGTTTGATGTAATAAGGGCACATGCAAGGTAAAGTTAGGTCAAGTGGTTTTGGAACACAGGTAGGCATCCCACAGTTCAAGAGCACCATCAAGCTTCTTCCTTGGTAGAGGGTACCCTATATGCTGAAGAATGTCTTGCGTCTGGGTTGTCTCTGACACTCACTGGAAGGTTTCCCTGAACTGGAGGCAATCTGTTGGAAGACACTGATGGGGCAGAACCTCTTTTCAGTGATAAACAAAAACGTTACTTGAATTTACACTGGTAGAAAGCAGAAAACACCTCCAGTGAGCAGAACAGAGCATGCAAAGTCTTATCAGTTTTGACACTAAATAGTTCCATGGCCTCAAATGGCAGGTCCTCCACAATAGCTTGGATCTCCTTTGGAATGCCAGAACCTTATAATCACAAAGACCTCTACATCACCACTACTGAAGCATCTGTGTCCAGCACCACTTGTAAGGCTGTCTTTATAATTAAATGGCCCTCTGTAACATCTTTTATTACTGATAGTGCAGCAGTGCTCTGAAGCCCTGACCAGGGCTTGGTCCTGTAAAACCCTATAATGAGAAGATGGCCCATGCTTTCCAAGAATGAAGATTAAAAAAAAAAAAAGCAGAACAAGCCCAAGGTTGTTCTAAACCTAAGCCAGGAGCTGAACTGGAAGGGGGGCAGTACTAGAACCTAGGAAGCCTATAACTGGCTTAAAGGTGGCTGTACTTTATCCTGTTGGATGATGTGCTGAATCTTCCCCTAACTTTCTTATGATTGAAAAGACATGCTTCAACACAAGATCCAAAGCAAGCTGGTGTTATAATATTAGCCTGAGTTAACAGACAGTCTAAAACTAAAGTTCTGAGACTAGACCCTGCTCCACTTATCTCAATCATTTACTCTTTCAATGTAAATCATTTTAACATTCAATTAAACACACTTAGCCCATAAATGCAAACTGCCTCTCTCGTCTTCCCTACATGGCAGCCATTGTTATTTGAGCACCAATCAACCACCAAAAACTCTACCTCTCCTTTATTTCCAGAATAAAGTTCCATGAACTTAGAGCAAAATTCTGCAACACATTTAAGATTCAGAGGCAGTTTTAATGAGCCACATTTTAAGATCACAAGGACTCATACTAACAAGATTATCTGCCTTGTAATCTTACTCTAAAACCCTTCATTCTTTTAGTTGAAGCTGTTGCAGACTCCCCAGTTTGACTAAACCAAGGGATTGCAGGAGGCATGGGGACTTGCCAATGAATTCTAAACAAGTTCGCCTCAGAACCCATTAGATCAGTTCCTCTCTTACATTAATAACAAAGTCACTTTCAAGCATTTTCTTAAAACTTCCAGTTTTTTAAAGAAAATTGAAATGACTTATTTTACTGGAGCAAAAATAGGAAAGCTCCTCCCCTTTTATTCATATCTGACAATTATATATTAAGGTGCCCAGAGTAAAAAAAGTCTGATCTGCAGCATGAATTTTTTCCTTTACAGTTTTCTGGCATGCTCTCCCTCTAAGCTGCTGAGTTAGGGGTAGAAAAATAGTTTCCAGAGTGCTCTCTAAATTTTATTGCTATAAATTGTTGTTTTTGGATAGAGACAGCTTCCACTATATGGCAATCACTGTTTGCAAAGGAAATAGCTGTTGAGCTATACAATATGTCACTGCATGTCTAAGTTAAGCGCACTTCGGTAAAAAAAATTACTTGAAAGAAGATGCATTTCCTAAAATCTAAATTAATTAAACAGGGCATATTTTCCTTTAAGAAATACCTAACCTATGCACTTAATTTCACCATAGCTCCTTTCCTTCTCAATGCATTTTATCTCCTCCCCTAAAGAGAATGTTTTCTGTTACTACTGCAATTCACTGATGGAAGTATGCTGCACAGGTAAATGATCCTGTGCACTGTACTAAGAACTGTAGCACACACAAGATCACTACAAATTGACTTCATCATCCATCAGATCTAGTTTCAGCTAGGTCTAAAAAACATTAGCAAGAATACTTGTAAGGTGCTATACCTAGAGAAGAAAAAAAATAAAATGCAGAAATACAGACTGAGGGATAACTGGCTAAGTAGTGGTGCTGCCAAGAAGGATCTGGGGGTTTTGGTGGAGGTGTACTTTACGCAGCATGGATTAGACCTTAGTTGTAGGATTGTGTGCACCTCTGAGCTCTGCATTTTAATAAAGATGCAGAGAAAATAGAGAGGATCCAGAGGTGAGAAAGATAGATGATAAAGGGACTGGGATGCAAACTGTATGAGAAAAGACTGAAAGAACTAGATGCATTTAGTCTAGAGAAAAGGAGATTAAGGGGGGACATAACAGCAGTTTTAAAATATCTGAAATGCTGCCACAAAGAGGGGGAAGAACAACTGTTATTCCTTGTTGCAGAGGGCAGGATGCAAAGCAATGGGTTTAAATTGCGGCAAAGTAGACTTAGATTAAATCTCAGGAAAAAAAAAGCATTTGTCTGGGTGAGTTTAAAAATAGCTCATCCTACATCTGTGCAGGGAAGAGAGGAGGGGTTGGACCAGATGCCCCTTGAGGTCTGCCCACTAACCTATGATCTTCATTAGGGCCAGACAGGCCAAAAATTATGCTGATCCAACTAGGCTAAGGTTATTGAAAGAGAATCAAGAAAAGTCTAAATAAAAGTTGGGAAAAGTGGATGGACCACGGACTATTATTGTGAGACAGTCTCTCATTGTGAGATCGGTAGCTTGAAATACTCCCAAGAGTCCAAGTGTAACTGCTGCTAGATGGTCCAGGATTGTTATGAGTTTGTGAGGCCAAAGAACCTCACAGTCAGTTCTGGCAGCTTGCTGCCAGTCTCAGTCTGCTGCCCATCCTTATAATACTGAAATCAACAGAAGTGTGGCCACAGAGCCTCAACTCCTCTCTGGAGCTGGTTCTTGCCAGTCAAGGCTAAGACCTACACAGACTAAAGAGTGCAGGAAAGTTTGTTCTGTGGATACTGTGTGAAGAGGGGACTCTGAGTCTCTAGGCTATGGAAAGCCCCTTTCCCCAAGCCCCACATTTATACACAGACATGCACACTGAAACAAGGTATACTTACCTCCATCGCTGGCAGATCTTGTGTCAGAGTTGAGGCTGTCTGAGGAGCCAGCTGTGAAGTTGACCTGGATTCCTCTAAAAGATGGGCCAAGGCTCTCTGCAGACCCATTGCTGACCGTCTCCAACTCAGGGTTACTCTTGTTCATTTTCATAGCGTGCCTAGACAGTCAAACAACAAACAGAAGCATTGAGTGTTTGGAGGAGACAAAGTACTCTAGCATTTGGAGATTCACACAAGACTGGGTCAGTTTGCTCTGTTCTTCCTGTCATAATATATATATAGACAACCATCTTTACCACAGAAAGCCCGGTTTTGCACATGCGCACACATGCATTGCACTAGCTGTCTGACAGATATGACAAATGCAGGGTCTCTCTCGGTGAGCATGGCTTACACAGCCAGGTCAGAGGGAGGTCCCAGTTGAGCTGCTTGCACAGGGCACCTGGAATCCATGCTGATCCTCCCAGACCCAGCAATTCCCTGATTCACTCCAGGGGTGATAACAGGGAAACAAGGTTCATTCCTGCAAAACAGGCAGAGTATACTCCATAAGCGGAATTTCTTTCTGTCTTGCTTGTCTTTATTCCAGAAGCAACTTATTTAAGGAAATATGGTGCTTTGGATATCACATATGGGCAAACATGGGCCTCTCTGAAGAAAAAAAAAAGTGTTATTTTGTTTTTTCCCTTTGCACTTCAAAATAGGCTCATGGCTGTGGCCATGGGTAGTTGTGCAGTACACTGGGGCACAGGGGAATTTATAGAATCTCTGCCCTAGTCCTGAAAAGCTGGCATCAAAGTCTTTCAGCACCAGCACTGGCATGGAAAACTTTCAACATCCACACAATGCTGTAGGGAAGGCTTCCAGACTCAGAGCTCTGCCACAAAAAAGCTCCCCATACCAACAGCCAGTGCAAGAAGCCAAAACCAACATGAAGCAATTTTCAAGCACACTTACTCCAACAGAGGTAAACATTTACACCAAAGAGTGAGCATCTTCCTCATTCCAGTCTATGGCTCCACTCATCAGATAGAAGCAAGTCAGGGTTCCTAGATCACTTTCCTCATGGGCAGTGCAGCCTGAGCTGTACATCTGAAGTCAGAATCAGTCCACGGTTCAGTGTGGATAGGACTGCTCTGCAGACAAATTCCAGAACCAGGCATTTGCCCATCATCTGATCTTGCTTAAGAGTAAAGACCAGGCACAACTCAGTTCAGGATGCTTACACTGATTAAAACAACATAACACCTAGCTCTTACGTAGAACTTTTCAGCATTATATGTCAAAATGCTTTAGAGAGGAAGTCAGCATTCATTGTTCTTCATTTAACAGATGGGAAAACAGCTAGACCCAGAATATATTCTCTCCTACCAATTCAGTATCTCCGTAACAGAATTGCTCTGGGGTCTGTCACTAAGGACAGACACTCTGCCAGTGCTACTTAGTTGCAAGCCCTGACTCCTGACGCATTTTGAAGTACTACATGACAAATGAAAGAATGAAAAACTGTTTTAAAGTAAATTCTGTTATTTCCTATTTCTTTCTTAAAGATAAACAGTACCTACATATTCTACATTTTTTTCTGGCAAACAGTAGAACAGTCTTCAATGATACTCGGTTTACAATGATGCAAACACATCTGGCTCTGTTAAAGCCTATACGTTCTGTCTTTTCCTTGACAGACAGGTGAGAGAGGATATTTATAAGTTTTTTTGTCAAATAAAATTAAATAATAACTACGTGATAAAAGTTCAATGCCACATTTATAAAAAAAAAACAATTTGAGTGGTTAAAAGCCCCATAATCCACATTTACTAGTCAGAAAGCTGGACTGAAAGAAAAACAGCAACAAAAGACATGCATGCTTGCCCTAGTAGACTATTACCATACACAGAGTTCCTCTTCTGAACTTAAGAAAGGGCTCCTACTGATGCAGGGGTAGGTTTTTTTACATAGCTAGTCTAAGTTAGCTGGACTTCTTTAGAAACACTGAGAACAAACAATGCAAGCTGTGTTTTATATTTTTAAATTCTTAATTCCATTTAGGGAGTGAGGGGAGAGTAAATTCTTACTGCTCTCTTTACTCAACTACACTGACAGGAAAACCGAAGAAAAAAGCAGGAAGAAACATGTGTCAGACTTCCTCATTTCTAACAGCATGCTTGTTCTAAAAATATATATATAGGATGTTCAGAATAAAGGAGTAAATTCGTGCAGGACATAATACCTCAGAAGACAATGGATTTACAATGCCGGTGAATTTGCTACTTTCAGGTTGTCATAGCAGTAAATCTTTCATGAACAGTTTGATAAACTTCCTATGTATAACAATTCACAATCAAAAATTGCTTTTACAATTTTAAGTAAACTTACTGTTAAAATATTTTACAGTATCAACTTACAGTACAAAATATCTACATTTTATACATAGTTTTTACATTATACAATCTCTCCATTACCATAACTACTATCTTCACTTGATTGGGAATTTTGGTTTTTCAGCTGGATACTATGGATACAATAGCTGGATACAGCTGGATACAATAAAAGCACTAGAAACCTGAGCATTAATTCAGAGAAGAACTAAAGGAAAAATGTTTGAAGTGTAAACTTAAATTTTATTTCTTGATTTGCATTGAAGATGAAACATTTCCACAACCATTCTTTTAAAAGTATATTAAAGATAATGTAAAGTTCTAAATTTAAACCTATTTGAAAGTATTACTTTAGATAGTTTCAATTGATTTAAACTATCAATTTAATTTAAACTATCAATTGATTTAAACAAATTATGCATAAGTACCTTACCATCCTCGTACACAAGTTCACAAGATGACACTTTGTTCAGCTGGGTCCAAGGTCTATGTATATAGCCACACCTAATCCTTCAGAGCAATGCTGATACAACGTGGTGTTCGGAAACACTGTTGTGGCTGTTGCCTTTGCAGAGTCCAGCATTACTGTGAAGGCACATGTGCAGAGAGCAGTCTATTTCCTCCCTGTACTTCAGTGACTTAAGTGAAATGCACTTCCTAAACAGGCATAAAACTGAAATAGAAATAGCTACTACTTAAATGACACACAGCTCTCAGTTTCAAATGTTACAGCCAGGATGGTTAGTAACATCAAGTACTATATTGAAATGTGTCTATTTCACATCCCTCCCCCTTTTCTTAACCAGGGCTTGAAGAACTGCTCACCACTCAGACCATTCAGTTGGTTCAGAGTAAAATATTAAAGGATTATATAGATTACTTGCTGAAAAAACACAAGGCCAAATTCTCTTATTTAGACACAATTCTAAATGAAATTAGTAAAGTGTTGTTTCCAGTTTGGTCCACAGTCTTGAAAGGATCTGAACATTCCCGCCCGGACTGTTCAGGATATGTCCATTGTACACATGGGTTTCTGCTACTGTTTCCTGGTCTATTCTTACTACTGAAGAAAAGTGATGTAGACAACAGTTAGTATTCAGAGGTTTTAAATCCAGCCTATCAGGAATGCGTAGTTTGGCTTCTCACATCATAACAGCCACAGAATGTCACCCAGTTCTAAGCATGTAAACACAACTCCCAGAAAGACATCGGATCTAAATTTAGAGTACACATGCTGAGGAAGCTGCTGTTTCCCTTGGTAAAACGTTGCAATGGTTAACTAACTGAGAAAAGCCTACTAAAAGCCTATACCTCATCTCCAGTCACTGTTATAACTTTGCTAAATTTAAGAGCATGCTATGAACATGAATTCTCCTCATGCAGATAGATATGTATACATTACTATTGTGTATAGATTGGGAATGAGTCACCTTTAACCTCTGACAAGCGAATTAGACTAACAGGCCTCAAAAAACCTGTGACACTTTCTTAAACACTCCTCCTCTATTTTTCAACATCATTTTTAGAAATAGACACCAAAACTATATATATTTTCCAGCTAGGTGGGTGCAAAGGCACCCTGTTCTTATTTGCTCTTCTCCTGTTTCTTTATCCAAGAACTGCAGAATCCCCCTTTAGCTACAGTGTTGCATTAGAAGCTCTGGTTCAGGTGGCTCTCCAATGCCTTGTCAGTCGCAGATTTCTAGAATAGTTAAGGTTGAAAGTAGCTTCCCACGATAAATCCGAGGGTAACCCGTACACTATTCTCAACAGAACGAAGGAAATTCTTTTGAAATTTTGACACACACCTTTCTGAAAATTCTGAGGCAAATCACACTTGTGGGGGAGATACAGACATACGGAGACTTGAAAAACTTGAGTTTACATCTCTGCAGATAAACAGAGGTTTGAGTTTGCCAAGCTGGTACCTTTCACTAGCACTGCTTCCTGTAAGAGGAAATGATGAGACAGATCTGCTCTGAGTCGACCACAGCACAGACAGAAATACGAAATCACCATTATTACAATGCGAAGTCACCGTTATATTACATGTGCCCATCCTCATGTAAGATCACCCAACTTCTAGAGAAGTCACAGCACGACTTCAACGTGCATTTACAATTTCCCCCCTGAGATTAGCTGCACAATTTGTGTTATCTACAAAAGGATCTGTGAGGCTAATATTAACTCAGAAGGACAAAATTATCATCCTGCCTGCAGTTATTTTTGGCTGGTGTTTTTAAATATTTAAAAAGGAAAAACAAAACCCACAAATCTTTCACAGAAACACAGCTGGCACAGCACATTCCCATGGACATGTGACAGCTCTGTCAGTATCTATGGGCACGCTTACATTACAGACTTTCTGCTGGCACAGCCCCCCTACCTGAGATACTGAATATGATGGAAAAATAAGTTTTTCTGTCAGTATAACTATACTGCCCCAATGACTTCAGCTAAGCTGACAAAAACAATCTTTTGCTGGCATAACTGTCTGAATGAGGGTTTTGATGGTACAGCTTGTATTTGCTTGATGGCATGATTTTTAACACTCCTGGCTAAAATGGCTGTCTCCAAAATTTTACAATGTGAAGAGCTGCCTGAAAGATCATACCAAGGCCAATAACAAAGATGTTTATAAAATAATGCAGCGAGAGAAAGAAGCAGAAAGAAACAAAACAGCCTCTCACTCAGCTCCAGGAAAAAGCTGATACATGAAAAAATCATTCCCCTGGAAAAAAAAGTGGAGCTGACCCCAAGAATGGAAAATGAATTTTGTAATA